TCAGAGACTTAACCAACTGAGCCACCCAGGCGCCCCATCTTTACTTCTGCCTGTATGGACACATCTGTGTGTTGTCTCCTATCCATCCACCCATCTTTTAAAACTGGGTTCATACGAATACCTCTAATTCAACTCAATGCCACAAAGCTCATTTCAGTTCCCTCTTTCCAGCTGTAACCTCTCCCTCTGGCAGTGAGAAGCTTCACTCTCAGTATCCACGACATATTTATATACTTGTTCAAACACCAAAGCAATTTCAGAATTGCTAACCCAAACCCCTGTAAGAAACACATCTACTAACTAGTGTGCAACATTTTGGGACAGGTGTGTGTGTGTTGTCTTCAGTCTTAGAGTATCCGGTCAGAATACTGTTTTCCAAAATTATTGGTTAAGGTATTTTCTTCCCCAGTCCTTTCAATGGCTTAGAGTAATCATCTGTATTACAATTAAGTTCACCTCTTCCTGTTCAGATTCCATTCTGGATTTGAATTGTTTGCTTATTTTTTGGGTACGTGAGGTTCTAAGTCAGGGTGAAAAGACGGCAATGCTCAGCCAGGGCTGTCCGCTCTGGGTCCTTTATCAATCCCACCCTTATCTCCTTCTTCCTTCCACCCCTCTCCCCCCGACCTCGCCCACACCCAGACCCTTGCATTTCTCGTCACCCCTCCTGTCACGTACGCTTTTCAATCTCTTGTCCCAAGCTCCACTTGTGGTAGGACCTCAGGACATGTTCGACACTGAACCGTGTTCTCTAGTGAGTCTCACTGGCTCCTGAAGTCCATGCTGTGTCTGCAATTTCCCCTTCGCCTAATCACGGTGAGCACTTCATCTCAATACGCTCGACACGAGGCTTTGGGGAAAACCACGGCTTTCCTTAATTGGGTCAGTTCTGACATGGGATCTAGCAGCTACTCAGGACAGCACTGGCGAAGAATTGCAAAGCTCTAGGCCTCTTCTGGGCCATGAAGAGCCACACGGAGCTAGTGCCCAGCTTGACAGGAACTCTAGGGCAACATTTTCAAATTTCTGCTACTTCCTTTTTTTCCTTTTTAAAACGTAGCATCTCAAAACGGCCTGGCAGCCTAGGAAATTATCTGTAAAACCCCAGAAAATGACAAGATTAAAGGGAGGAAGAACAGCATGAATATGTGCAACACAAAACAATTGCAAGTAAAAGTTGTGTGTGTGTGTGTGTGTGTGTGTGTGTGTCACACAATAATGCTCCAGTTATTCTGTGATCAGTATTTGATTTTCAGATTAATGAGGAAGGAAGCCACCAGAGATGAGTCAGGAAATGTAAAGACGAGCCAGTTATAAAAGCCTGGAAGGGAAAGCAGAGAGCTTTGCAAACACAGATCTAAGGAGGAAACTGGCATTTGAGACTCTACACTTATTTTTATGTCCAGAGGACACCTGGACCCAAACGTGAAACATCATCAAACTTTAGGACCAGTGTCGTGTGGATGTTGAAGTCACATGCCATGATATGTCCAACAGAATAATGAAATGTTTGACAAAGTCTGTACATAAACAGGCGTTTTTATAGGTAAAGTAAAGACAGCCTATCCCCCCTCCCCGAAACCCTATAGAATGATAATCACACCATCTACTGACAGCAAAGCTGCATGGGTGGAATCATGGGCTAGAGGACTATGGGAAAGGTCACGGGCAACCCGGAATCAACCAGTTTAGGGACTAGATTTACATTCCGTCAATATACTCTGTTTACTGTGTCAATTTGGGGGCTTCTACAGCATATTAGGGGCCAGACAGAATCAGGGCTGAATCCTGGCCTGGCCACTCACTGACTACGTGTCACTGGGCCAGATCACCTCCCTAAGCTTCGGTTTCTTCATCTCTATAATGGGCACAGTAATACCCGCCTATAGGTGGTTTGAGCTTTTTTTTTTTTTTTAATATTTTTTTAATGTTTATTTATTTTTGTGAGAGAGAGCAGGGGAGGGGCACTGAGAGAGAGAGGAGGACAGAGGACTGGAAGCGGGCTCTCTCTGTGCTGACGGCAGAGAGCCAGATGCGGGGCCCAAACTCACGAACCCTGAGATCATGACCTAAGCCCAGATGGAGAGTCGGATGCATTAACCCAGGCGCCCAGGTGGTGTGAGCTTTACATCTGATGTGAAGCACTTAGAAGTGCCCAGAACAAAACAGGTGCTCCATTCGCAAGCACAGCCTAAGGGTCGATAGTGAGGACTCTGGACTCTGCTGGAATACTGGCTCTGCCACTCATTTGCTGTGCCACATTGGGGAAGTCAATTAACCTCTCTGAGCCGTTGAAGGGGGAGTAGCAATCTGGAATGGGGTTAATCGATAACCAACTCAGAAACAGGGATGATAAGAAATAGAGTAGTTGCAAGGATTTAACGAACTAATGCAGACAGGGTACCAAGGACAGGGCCAGATGTCCTGCATTCTAGAACACTGGCGACGGTGACGGGTTGTGATGACTCAGTCAGCCCACCAGACAGCTGAGGAGTGCTTAGTGGCGGAAATAATCTCTTACGCAGAGTCCCAGGCGGGGTGCAGAGGCCTGGAAGGACGTGTGTCGGCAACATTTGTCGACGGCTTAAGAGAGCCTTGAGAGGCTAACCCCATCTGCCAACGGCGTGTCAAGTGGTTTAACCCACAGTGGTCAAGAGCAAGGCCGAAGTCAAGAGCACAGGAGCCAACACACTCCTAAGGAACATATTACAGCAATGTCGCTGCAGGGAGAAAACAAACAAACAAACAAACAAACAACCCTTGCTCACATGTTATGCAAACCCTGCTCTGCAATCAGCCTGCTTCGGAGTTCTTGGCCCCACAGAGAAGAAATCTTTGAGGTAGGACGTTAAGGTCCAGGGTGCCGCTGTGCTCACGCCTGTGTCTTGCACTCATTTGTCCTCTGGCATATTTATGTAAATAGCATGTCTTCCCTAAACGCTGTATTTCACCTCATGAAAAAAAATCAATAGAAAGAAAACGAGTAGGTGTTCGGTCTGTATTTCTAGACATGCTAATAAATGATCGACTCTCACTATATTGACACCGTTTCACAGGGAAATAGCTATTTGCGCCTTACTCCGCTGGAACTCTCGCAGAAAAGTGTGTTCCATCTGCTCCCCAGCCAAGTCTCTCTCTCTCATCCTCTTTGTCCCTTACGGAATGACTGGATATAAAGACGGGGCCTCCCAGGTTTTGTGGTGGAGGAAATCCCACAGGCCCACACTCTCCTACTCGATACTGAGTTCAAGAAATGTCCAAAAACTGAAAGTTTCCTTTAACTCAGACGGAAGCAAAAGTTAACCTGAGCTGACCCAACTCTGTAAATTTAAAAACATCATACACAGATTCCAATATGCTGCCTGAGGCCCCACTACGGGTGCTGCGTGTTCATGGTTTCATCCTCTTAGGACCCCCAAATTTCTCAATTCTGAAATAAATTGGGCCCCAAGGTTTTCGGATACAGGACTGTGGACCTCTAGGAGAGTTACTGATGCTGTTATGTTCCAAACATGGCTGTGTGAAAATAGCCAGTGAGGCAGGCAATTCTAGAATTTTCTTTAACTGAGCTGTCAGCACAGAGCCCGACGTGGGTCTCGAACTCGTGAACTGCGAGATCACGACCTGAGCCGAAGTCGGACGCCCATCTGACTGAGCCACCCAGGCGCCCCAACTGCCTCCTTCTTTTAAAACAGAACCTCGAGGGGCGCCTGGGTGGCGCAGTCGGTTGAGTGTCCGACTTCAGCCAGGTCATAATCTTGCGGTCAGTGAGTTCGAGCCCCGCGTCAGGCTCTGGGCTGATGGCTCAGAGCCTGGAGCCTGTTTCCGATTCTGTGTGTCCCTCTCTCTCTTCCCCTCCCCCGTTCATGCTCTGTCTCTCTCTGTCCCAAAAATAAATAAACGTTGAAAAAAAAAAAATTAAAACAGAACCTCGACATGGCTGATCTCATGATTTAAAACGGGCAATAATCGCCCAGAAAGTTTGCCCCTACTTTTGTTTGCCCCCAGGTGACTGCACTATAACTCATACCCTACAGGGACACGTGGGGTTTCTGAGAACATGGATGTCTTTTCAGGGGACATGTGTTCTTGGGAGCTACTCTTTGGAAGCCTGGCCTGTTTGGGCCCTGTTAGACCCAGGTTTAAATCCCGGATCCAATAACTTGCGAGGCACATGGCACAGGCACGTGGACCTGTGTCCCATGTGAAAATCGGGGAGATTTTCAGTTCAGCAGGACTGTTGGACCGAAACAAGGAGATGTGCAGAAACATGGGTTAGCTACCTTCCAGACCCTTCCCACGCTGACTTTCCTCCTCCAGCCGGTGGAGACACCCTCTGGGGACACGGTGTAAGGCAGAAGGCCTGGGGTTCACTCTTTTTCACAGACAAGCTCAGAGAGACGTGTATGTATTTGTGGCCCACGTTTGCATATTACAGGGTGGAAAGGAATAGATTTGCAGCGAGGTTCTGCAGCCAAACCCGACATCAGAACCTCCCAGAAAAACTGGGGGCACCGCAGACAGATGAGCTGCTGGGGACCCGGGGAGTGAGGGGCAGAGAGGTCATTTAAGGACACCTGGGAGCTCCTCAGGGTGTGGCCTCACTGGTTTCGATTTGGCTGAAGAACCAGAGTCCAGATACCTGTGGACAGTTTTAAATCCGTAGCTCACCGTCCTAGCTGCACAGATGCCAGCCCGCCCCAGAGATTCAACCAGAATGGCGTTTTCACAGGTCTCAAGGCGATTTCAATACTGTCGTGGAAACTGAGGGCACTGCCCATGGACTGACAGTAAGCATACGCCCCGCCTGAGTCAGGGCAGAGGCTCCAGATGCCGCTTCTCCCGTCTGGGGACAGAGCCTCACTGAGTAGGAAAGAAAGAAACACGCGGCGCAGGACCCCACAGGGCGAGGGGTCACCAGACGTGCAGGGGGGAGAACAAACCTCACGTGTAACCGAGTGACGCGGCTGTGAAACACACACAGTCGCCCGCGTGCTCACCTGGGACTCTCCCATCCCTGGTCGTCCTTGTCTTTCTCTTCTTTGGTGTCTCCCGAATGCGGGTGCTTCTGCACAATGCGCATTCCACCAGCTTTCACTACAACAGAAACAGATCAGGGTGTGATCGACGTGGCAACGCAAGCACCAGAGAGAGGCCCAGGGGAGCTAGCTGGAAAGGTTTGGTCCCCCCACGGCCACACGTTAGTCCCGACGACCGGGCAGTGACAACGATTAACGACAGAGGTCAGTGTGAGGACGACGCGGCAGCCAAGGCGATCTTTGACTCCAGATCCACTTAGACGCTTTCCAAGGCTCTTGTTTGTTCCATTTGTTTCTTACAAGAACTTTGCAAGAGCAGGAGCGGACCCGGAGGATAAACCACGTGGACAAGGTGGCTGCTTGCTTTGGGTTCTTTCTGCACATCGTCTTGACTCGACGGGGTCCCCCTTAATCCCCGCCCTGTGACATTTTCTCAAACACCGATGATGCCGTGGATGGGACGATGCAGCCACAGGTGACACGGGACAGCTGCCGTGCCACGGTCACAGAGCCCACGCGGGCAGAAGCCAAAACGTCTGTGGCAGCCGTTCCCAAACTACATTGTGAAGCCTCATTGTGGGCACACGTTAACTGTTTTTAAAAGTGGCCTTCCTGACACATAATTCACACACAAGCCGCCCGCCCACGGGCACAATCAATGGTTGTGAGTGTGCTCCGAACTGCTGTATGGTGATCGCCACAATCGACTCCAGCACGCCGTCATCACCCCAGACAGAATCCCCATACCCGCTAACGGCCCCTCCCCAGGCGCCCCTCCCCCCAGCTCATAGCAGCCCCTCGTCTGGCTTTGCCCGTTGTGCGTATCTGGCCTGCTTCTTTCACTCGGCATGTTTCCAAAATTCATCCACCCATCAGCCCGTGTCAGCCCTTCATTCCTTTTTATGGCTGCATGGTGGTGTTCTTGGCACGGAAGACCACATTTTCCGTGTCCCTTTGTCTGTTGGACATCCAGGTTGTTTCCGCTTTGTGCCTAGTATGAAGGATGCAGCCATGAGCGACGTGTGTCCCAGTTTGTGTGTGGAGACGTGGATATACACCTTCCCTCCCGTGGGCGCACACTTAGGAGTGGAGTAGCTGTGTTCCACGGTGACTGTACCCATCCTTCTGAGAAGCTGCCAAGCGGCTTTCCAAGGCCATGGCACCACTTCACATGCCAACCGGTCTGTGGGTTCCCGTGTCTCCGCATGCTCGTCGACACTTGTTACTGGCTAACTTTTTCATTGTAGCCATCCTAGTGGGTGTGGAGTGTTATCTTATTGTACTCTGACTTGTGTTTCCTCAATGGCTAATATGTTAATACTGCCTTCCAAGAAAACAAACAAAAACAAAAACAAAAGAAAACACCAAAAGCGGGGACTCTAGGATCTGTTAGCGTGGGAAATGCTAGGTTGAACAAATTAATGCGTTTCCTCAAGACAGATTTTCTTGGCCGTTAGCATGCATTGTGAGCTTTATGAGGGGCACAGGGCAGAGCACCTTCCCCAAGTTCATATGACGCCGCGAGTCCCTCCCACCCCAGTAATGCTGGTTCTCATGCTTCAGGACCATAGTCCTCCACAGAAGAGTTTGGAAATGCCGGCCTTATATCCTCAAACAGCCAGCCTCCCGTGACTGTCACGGGCACGTGCTGTGGGGTCAGTAAGCCACCACATTGCCCTCAGCTGTATGGTTTTGGACTATTTAGCCCCTCAAAGCCTCGCTGCTTCATCTGTAGAAAGGGGGTAATAGATGCATCATCCTGAGATCTTTAAATAAGAGAAGCTGTTGAAACCTTACCCCCGTGTGACAGTGTTTGGAGGTGGGGCCTCAGTGAGGTGATTAGGTCACGAGGGTAGAGCCCTCCTGGATGGGATTAGGGCTCGTATGAAAGACCCTCAGCCCCCACCCCACCGAGGTACCCTGTCCTTTCCCCCGCGTGAGGACGCAGCAAAAAGATGGCTATCTACGCACCAGACAGCCAAATCACTAGCCACCAAACCTGCTGGTGCCTTGATCTTGGACCTCTAGACTCCAGCACCACGAGAGGCTTTGTTGTTTATAAGCCATCAGTCTGTGGTGCCCCGACACAGCAGCCGGAACAGGACTAAGGCGGCGAGTACTTGAAACAAAGTGCAGCCCAGTGACCGGTGCTCACCGCCCTCAGGGTCGTGGTGTGCGGCTCTCCATGTAGCCCCCCCTCCTCTGCACAGCTCTGATCACAGACAGCCAACGTGGCAGACCGTGTCCTCGGGCCCCTGCTGAATTAAGAAAAGTCCAGGGCAAGCTTCCTTATGATTCTAAAGAACAGGAAGGAGAATGTGAAAAACACGCTCAGGCTCCCACACTTGGGGGTTATTAGTTTTCAATTTCCCAGCCAGAGTTTGCGGCCTGGGCTTCAGGAGGCCGACAGCACCTGCTTCGAGGCCAACAGCGCCTAGCAGCAAGCAGCCCGTCGGAAAAATGCAAAGCAGAGGGCGGGTAACATAAAGGACTGTGTCTGAGGACACATCTGCCACCAACACGAATTCTCTTCAAGGGGACCTTCTACTTGGAAAGGAGGAAATATAATCCTGTGTGGGAATTCTTCCAAAAATCTGTTTTAAAAAAATTTTGATGTTTAGTTTTGAAGGAGAGAGACAGCGCAAGTGGGGGAAGGGCAGAAAGAGAGGGAGACGCAGAATCCGGAGCAGGCTCCAGGCTCCGAGCCATTAGCACAGAGCCCGACGCGGGGCTCGAACTCACAGACCGTGAGATCATGACCTGAGCCGAAGTCGGATGCTTAACCGACAGAGCCACCCAGGCACCCTGAGCCCATCTGTTGATTTTTATTTCAATCATTTTATTTTTCACTTCTAGGGCATTTCCAATTCACCCCGTCTTTTACTTGATAGGGTCTTTTTCGTGTCTTGTGTTTTTAAGTCTTTTCTGTGTGCAATCGTTTTAGGCATACTCGTGTCATTGTACATTCAATTACTGTATGATCTGAGGTCCTTGGGAGTCTAATCCCACTGCAAGTTTTGTCTGCTGACTGTCATGCTCATTCCGGTGATTGTACATTATGAGCTCTCCTTCAGAATGGCTTTGTCTGTGGGGGCCTCTGGGGCCTGGGGCGCAGGCGGCCTCCCTTCGGAAAGATGTTGTACACTTTTGTGAAACCGGTACAGGCACCCGGAAATCCTTTTTACGTCAGATTTCTCAGAACAGGGATTGCCAAGCTGTAGCTTTGAACTCCTAGCCCCTGTAAAGGCAGGCCTGCGTTTACACGTTCTTAGGGAGACTTCTTCTCCCCCACCGGAGCCCAGGCTGAAGGAGAGCGGTTCCCCACCATCCCGTTGTGCTGCTGGGCATATGGGCTTCTCCCTTGCTCCACAGGTTTGACCTCTGAGCACCCCATTTTATGTTGGGTCTTGGGTTAAATGAGCCTGGTGGGGTGGGCCTTAATCCAACATACTGGTGTCCTTATACAAAGAGGAAGAGAAACCACCACCTGCCTCATGTGGGCCCAAGGCTCATGCTAACTGTTCTGAATTTGTTTCTTCTTCGGGTGTGGTTCCTGGGGATCTCCCTCACTTTGGGCTCAGATTTTTTTTTTTTTTTTTATGAAAGGAAAGCAAGCAAAAACACCACTGCAGATGGCTTATCACAATATTCCAGGTTGAGTAGTCTGTCAAACCTTAAGAAACAGAAACTGAAAGAAAATTCTGTAACACGTTAATTTTCTTTTTTTAAATTTTTTTTTTTTTTCAACGTTTATTTTACTTTTGGGACAGAGAGAGACAGAGCATGAACGGGGGAGGGGCAGAGAGAGAGGGAGACACAGAATCGGAAACAGGCTCCAGGCTCTGAGCCATCAGCCCAGAGCCCAACGCGGGGCTCGAACTCACGGACCGCGAGATCGTGACCTGGCTGAAGTCGGACGCTTAACTGACTGCGCCACCCAGGTGCCCCGATAATTTTCTATTGAATATTCATTTCTATTGAAATGTAAGATCAGAGAGTTATGTTTTTGGCTAAAGGGAGCTGTAAGAATTGTCCCCCTAAAACTTTTGTTTTTCTAAAAAATTTTTTTAAAGTTTATTTATTTTTAGGGTGCCTGGGTGGCTCAGTCGGTTGAGTGCCTGACTTCGGCTCAGGTCATGATCTCACAGTTTGTGAGTTCAGGCCCCGAGTCGGGCTCTGAGCTGCCAGCACAGACCGCGACGTGGGGCTCGAACCCACAAACCGCGAGATCATGACCTAAGCCGAAGTCAGATGCTTAACTGAGCCACCCGGGCGCCCTTTAAAGTTTTTTAAAATTCATTTCCTCCCCATATATCCCACCCTTCGCCCACACCCATTAGAAATTGATCAAAGGTACTATGGGCTGTGTTGTGTCCCCCGAGTTCACATGTTGAAGCCCTCAGCCCTGTCACCTCAGAATGTAGTTGCAGATAGGGCCTTTAAAGAGGTGAGGAAGTTAAAATGAGGCTGTTAGGGTGGGTCCTAATCCAACAGGGCTGGTGTCCGTCTAAGAGAAAGAAAGGACGCTGGGGATGCCGCCACAGAGAAAAAGTCACACGAGGACACAGCAAGAAGACAGCTGTCTGCAAGCCCAGGAGAGAGGCCTCAGGAGAAACCCGCCAGCACCTTGATCTTAGCCCTCCAGTCTCCAAGCACTTTGAGAAAACGAAACCCCACCTGTGGGATTTTGTTACAGCAGCTGGAGGTGACTAATACTCAGGCCCGTTTAAAAAACAATGCCTGACTCGTGTCAACTTGGCAGACATAACACTTTGAAACTACAGCTCACAGATATGTTCTAGAAATGGACGAAAGTGAAAAGGGCTGTATAACCATACAAAGAAAGCCGCCCATGAAGGTCCAGTCGACATTTGAAATAAGCCAGCCCAAAGCTCCACGGCTCTGTCGAAGTCGCTACACGTCAAGGCTCAGTCACCCCCCCCCCCCACCATTAGCACTTCATTTAATTTGGTTTATAAAAACAATGAACTTCATCAATCCCTCACAGCATGTGTGGTGATTAATGCAGGAATAAAAAGTGGCAATAATAATAATAACTCAACAACGAGACAGATTCATTTCAACTGGCGATAACTGCCAAAATCTACGACAGCATTTATTGTGGCTGTTTTATCGCCGTCACTAGAACTCCTCATTTGTAAAAAATACAAAAGCCAGAGTTATTTTTGCAGAAATCTTTGCAAATGTGAGTATTTTTAGGAGACATTAGGAAAACAAGAACTCGGAATTTCTCTCAAATGAAAGAATCCCAGATGCCCCTTGGAAGCGCTGTGCGCACGTCAGGGGCATGATCCTGGAGTCAGATCCCTGGGTTCCAATCCTGGCTCTGCCCGGGTGTGTGCGTGCACACGCGTGTTGCTTCGCCCGTGTGTGTGTGTGTTGCTGCCATTCTCTGTGGCTCGGGGTGCTCCGTCTGGGAGGAAAGGGAGACCGTGCTCTCCCAGCAGGGGGTGCAGAGGACTAAATGACTTAGCCCATGTGACACGGCTCCCCCAGCGCCTGGCACGTGGCGAGGGCTCGGCCGGTAGCTGCTCCTATTAAATGAGTTTTAACCCTCAGCATCTAGTACTTAGACCTCCATAGCCTGTGTCCTCGGTGCTGTCCTTTCCCTCATGACAGTCACCTAAGATGTAAGACGGGATGAAGGTCCAGGCTTGTGGGGGTGGGGGATGGGGGAAGGGGGAGACACCCTGTAAAGCGCTCCACTGATGTGGTCAGCTACCCAACAGCAGGACCGTTGTCAGTGTATCACCATCTAAGTGTGGAAGCTTCCGGGGAATCAGATCCCGGCTCATTCTTCAGCTTCACTCTTCCTCACCATTTCACCATACGGCTAGGTGCAGGCACCTTTCTCACCACTGGCCTCGTGATCTCCCACCTCACAGGTACCGAGGGGTGGATCCCGAGGGTGAGGCGGGGGGAGCCGGCGGGCCGAGCCAGCACAGAGCCGGATCTGGCCCTGCGGCCTGTGCCCTTAACCGCACCCTGCAGGCCTTTCTCTGCTTGGACCTTCCAGAAGACAGAGAGCATCACAGACCGCATAGAAAGACACAGTGATGGCCTGGGCAGGCTCTGATTACTGCCACCAGGCTGGGGAAGACCGTGAGTTTGACCTTCAGAGCTCTCTGCAGAGAGCTTCCTGCCTAAGGGGTAAAGGGGGGGGGGGAAGCATCTTCCTTGGTCAGACTTTGCCAGGGGGGACATATTGAGCACACTCTCCTGTGGCCGGGGCATCCCCTCAGGGGTCGGGGTGTGCTGGCTGTAAGGGGGTCGCTGGCGGCTTTCTCTGTCCCTGCTCAGTAGCAGGCTAGAGGGCCCCACAGCTGGAAGTCGGGCAAGGGGACGAGAAGGCTCTCCCTAGGATTACTCACGTCTCAGCCCCCGTTTCACACAAATATCCCCAAAGCACTAACTAACTGTAGGTGTCCCAGCACATCGTGAAAAGTGTACCGCACCTTTGTTCTTACCTGACAAGAGCCACTGAAATGTTATTCGAGGGAAAGCTAGTCCAGCAAAAAGAAGGGGTGCGAGGGTCCCAGAACTGTTCA